ACATGACAGTCTCGTGTACTTGAATGTTTTAATTTTTTCCAACTCTCTTCATTGGTATTGTACAAGATAAACTCCCTAAACCTTGTTTCTCTTGCATGAAGGTATATACGGTTCGATAATCAGTGAGAAGGAAACAGAGAGGCAAATAAAGGTAATTATTAGAAGAAAAGACAGTCTGATAGAACAGATGGAACTGACAGTTTGTGAAATAAATAGGAAAAACATTTCTTGATTATATCCCATCTGAATCTGATCTCCTGTTCATTCTATTTTCAATAAATTTGTAAAGTTACTGGAGCAATTCCGATACGTCTCATATGCTTCAACTGCTATACACATCACACGCACTCCCAAACCATTAGAGAGTAGCACTAAAGATATGTGAATGCTAAAAAGACAGTAAATACATGTAAGACAATACTTCAAAACAAACCTGCAGTGTACATCTTTCAGAAAAGATCAGTACCTCCAATTTTAACATTCTGTTATTAAAATCTCTTGCAACATTTGTTATTGAGCAAGAACAACGATACGGGGGGGGAATGAATGTTCCTTATATTTGTCAAAATAATGCTGTGCTAAGAATCCATAATCTAGATTGTGTAGGACCTTATTTACAAAAAGAAATCACAGTATATTCTGTATCTTTTAAAACCTTACAGAGCCCTCCCTGAAACTGGAGAACAACTTCACAAAATCTTCCCTTTTTTTGGTGGCTTATATGCAGCTACAGCGAGGCCTTAATTCATTCCTAAACTGGTTAGGAGAAAAGCACAACTTCTATTTCCGATGTGCACTTAAATTTAGTGCATTCAACTTTAAAAAACCCCAGAACTTGAGATAGGAAGATGAAATAAAAATGTACCCTCACATTCCAGGTTGGTAAAAGGAGAGTATGCTCTTACAGGCTTATAGTTCTTCTACGTAATTATGGCTTTAGGATTGCCCTTTAGAACAGACAAATCTCATTCTCTTTTGCCTTTACTGAAGGATAATAAAGGCTTGATTATGTATAAAGTTTGCATTCTCAACTGATCTGGCCATGAGAGAGAGGAGTTCTTGCTGAATGACAATAACCCCACACATGTGTTGGAGGGATAAACCATTTTCCCTAACAACGGTGCTGAACTTACAGAGAAAACTTTTAAGACTCCTGTTTCCTGACACATTGACTCTCATGAAGCATGGGCTGACTTCATTCCTGATTGATGTCTTCTACTTGCCAGGTTGATAAAATTATAAACAAGCTCCAGTTAAGTACTAATTTGGTGCCAGAATAACACAAGATATCGGGAACACCTGAGGTCTGCATGGAGAACTGAGATATAAGGAGTTACACTTCTTCCTCTCTATCACTGTAACTGCCTTCAACTCCATCAAACAACTTCTGTTTGTTGGCTTCTCTTCCCTTTCCTCTAAGCTACCTTGGCTTTGTACTAAAATAAACATTGAAGATTCTCTTATAAATTCCTATACACAGGCTGTGGTGGCCAAACTAACCCTACAATCAGACTGAAGAGACCATAGCAACTCTGGTTATATCTATGCTTATATTCTGAATGTGGAGAAGTGAATTACCTACTTGTGTGACACACAGAGATATAAACTGTTCCAAGCAACAACGTCTCATACAAACACTGATCAACAGACCCACTCCATGCTCTTCAAAGTTCAAGAAGTGGCAGTTAGAAGACTAATCTACTTTACAAGGGCTTCATGATAGCTAAAGTCATGGAGCTTTATTGTTTGAGAATACTGACAAAGGAACTGTGATCATATTTATTTTTAAATTAGATTATTGACCATACATAGTCACTGCCATTGCTACCCACCAGACACCCATATCACATCCCCGCAGCATTTCATGTTTTCATAAACCATGCATTTAGATGAGATAAGATTAAAGCTGATGGAGTTTTATATTTTATCCCAAGTCTCATGATTTCAATTCTGACTTTTGTATCACAATTGTTGAGTAAACGTATGTTCATCTAAGTAGTGTTTCATAGCTCTGTGTAGTCTGCCTTACAGCATTTTCAAAGACTAAGGTTTTCTTTCCCTGATGAGGTTTAAAATTTTCTCTTTAAGAAATGAAACTAAAATCCTTGAGAGAAATACAGCATGCAAATGTAACTATTTTATAGATTTTTTTTTTTTAACAGAGGAGAAGTCAAAGTTATGATGCAGCTCACATTTTTGTTTATCAGTTTCTCTTTTACAGTATTATTTGTATAAAATTAACAATGAGACTTAAGAATACAAGCTTAACTCCTGAAGTGGTACCTAAATGGCTCTTCTGTTCCTTTCCCTGTTCAGATAAGAAATAGGAAATCGGTTTTGGACTACAGAACATGTGCAACGTCACTGTTTGCTAAACTTTATGCTGTGTAGGATTAACTTGGTAAAATATCCCAAAATATTAACAATAAAGGACAAGTGGCATTTTCAGTATTTTCAGTTCACTTATCAAAATTAACACTTTTTATTTCTTCCTCCAATGATATAGATACACCAGAAGTATATTTAAATATACTCATCAGTGCAACTATCAAAGGGTAAGTGTGTATTATAGAAATGAGCCCCCGGATTAAGTATATATTGTGAAATGTATGTGAATGTGCATGACTTGAACCAATGAACTGTGGCCTGAAATGATGTCACAGAATGTGCAGCATTAAGTGGAAGGTTAAACCTACTTGCATCTCGGTTCATTAAACGCAGTTAAAGTGCAAATTCCCTCATTCTGACAGTAGTAATCACAAGGGTTCACTTTCTGGTCACAGCGCTGACTTTTAAACCCCACAGAGCATCTGCAGAATTTCAGTAAAATAGACCTATATAAATATTCTACCTTTTGCTGAACAGATTTTAAACGCATTATATATAATGATGGCAAGACACACGTACATACACAGGCACACACCCACAGATAACAAAATTAATACTCTGTTTTTCATGGGAGGTTCAATCTGACTGTATTGAAAAGTTTGCTCATCAGCATTGATCAAACACTTTTAAAACAACGAGCCTATACTAACTGATGTGTTTAGGAATCTAACATTCTTAAATTATTATTGTCAAATTACTATACATTTGTACTGATTGATGCAGAGTGCAATGGCCTCAGAAATGTGTTCTTAGCATTGTTAACAGTGTTGGCATCTACTGCAGCATTTATGCATCGTAAATCCATACACAAATTAATGTATGCAACTTGTTTTCCTTGAGATGCTATGGTGTTCCATATTAATTTAAAAAAGAATAAGCCAGTTTTATAAGGAAAAAGAATGGAAGAATCACAAGCTTCCAGAATAGCCATTCTGGGTGTTTAAGCAAATCATAGAATTATTCAGGTGGGAAAAGATCTTTTAGATTATCATGTCCAACTGTTAACCTAACACTGCCAAATCCACCACTAAACCATGTCCCTAAGCTTCTGTCATTTAAATACCGCCAGAGATGGTGGTTCAACCACCAAATGAATCACCAGACTTCATCATCATAATTGGGCCTTACATATTATAGCTGTGATACTCTGCTTTTGCTGAGATTTATGAGTCTTTCTAGTCCTCAACTAAAGACAATCAAGGAGATACAAATAACAAGTAAGAAGGGCCAAATCAACATATTTACAAAAAAGAGACATAGGTACTTAAAGCATATTCAGCTGAATAAGGACTAGAGTGAAGAACTGCATTCCACTGTCTCTAACCCTAAAGCGGCAAATATCTATTGACAACTTCTTTTCAACAGTACAGCAACTTCAGTTTTGCCCCTTTGCACCATCAGAAGTGCTTGAGCTCCCACAGGGAGGAACAGTTGCTCCATCTCTTACACTGGTCAGACTACAAAATCTAGGCATTTCTCTATTTAACTTCCTTGAGAGTCTGAATACAACAGGCAGTCTCTTTAAAGATCACCTATCTCATACACATCAACAAAATGAAGGGATGGCTGTATTTACAAAGTCGTAATGCCAGATCCCTTTGGACAATAACTTAGTTATGTCACCCTGAAAATGAGACACTCAAGTCCAATTCTCTCTTCCAACACCTCATGTGCTCCTGGAGGATGCTCTGACCTCCAGATTGTCCTGAGAAGTGGAAGACTATCCACAAGGAAGCTTTTCTGCAGTGCAGAAAAGATTGAATCATGTATTAGCAAAAGTGAAAAAAACCCAATGACTATGACTAGGTAGCTCAGTGCAACTGAGAGCAGAAAAGAAATTAATTTCTTGCTACAGTGACTACTTCTGTATTTTATATTTAGCAGCTGAAAAAGAAGATACACCATAGCTCTCAAGAAAGGACTAGAAATGTAGGCTCTTCTACCTCTTAAGACAGTACTTCACCATCTAGACTACAGAATTACATTTCCTTTGGTATTTGATGTCTGTGCTTAAGAAAAACATCTTGAATTATTCTCTCAACAATAGTGCAGGAGGGAGAGTGTAATGTCACCACAGAACAGCCAAGCTACTGTGGGCAGTGTGAAGATTAGGGCAGAAAGAAGAGATACACGAGCATATCCTCAGACCCATAAAAGAAATAAACCCTTGCATTATTCTTTCTCTTCTCTAGCCATCATGCTCCTTACAGGAGCGTACTGCCTCCACCCCGACCATATTTGTAGGAGAAAAGGCTTAATCCACCTTTGAGAAGCAGGACAGGAAACAATCCTGTACCTCCGGATCCATTCCAGAATAAATGTCTAAATGGGCTTTAGATCTGGCCTGAAATTATTAGAAGTCTCAAAAGAGATATCTTTGTATCTATATGCATTCACAATATATATCTTAGTTTTATCTTTCAATATACATATAGCAAAAAGGTAGACAAAGCATTGGGTTACAGAAATAGCTAGAAAAAGTACTGTAAGGTTTAATTGCAATGAGCCCATTATACATCCAAGAGAGATCAAAAATAGAGACACATACATGATAATTTATTATTTATTGGCACACAGATATTGTAATGATTTACACAATGTAGGATACTCACAGACAGACAGGTATATTTGTCTCTGGGTCCAGTTGACATGTACCACCATTGTAACAGTAGCCATCACATAACTGACAGGTAGAGGCAATCTTTCCATTAGTGCAACTGTCATGGTTAAAAAAAAATACAAATAGCAGTCAGTATTTTATGAAATCTGGTGAATTCCCTTAGAATTATCTACATATTTTACGATATATGTAAGATCTGATTGCAGGGATTCTAGGTTTCCACTTTGAAAAGCTAGCGCAGTCAGTGAACTCATTACACAAAATACGTTTAATCTTTCTTTTTATGACAATAAACTATTGTTATACAAAATAATCACCCAGCAGTATAGCAGCACATCTTACTACACATGCTTTCATTAGTATAAAATCTGTCTCTATCACTGTCAAAGGCACTGCAGAATGAACAAATTTCTACAGTGTGGTAAAACTCTACAGTGAACTTCCCTAAATATTCCAATTTTTCCAAGTGAACACCCATTCAGTCTCCTGTTACACTGATCTTCCCTCAGTGAGGAGCGCTCTAAAACCTGGATTAGAAAGGCAGAAGCCAGTGGGTTTTGCATGGGCAGGAGCCATGCGAAGGAACTCTTCTTCCGATGTGACAGGTTCAGCGGTTAGACATTGTGCGAGACATTGAAAGGATAATGCAAGGGAATCGTATTAAATATATAATTTTGGATGCTATTACCACCCCTACACACACTTACTTGCATACTATGTCATTAGTGTCCTTGTTTATTATGCAGTGTCCCCCATGACATCTGACGCACTTGTCCACTTCGCATTTTGGACCTTCAAATCGCACTGGACAGACACATTCGACACTTCCGTCATCAGCAATGGTACATGATTCAGAATTCACACAGTAATGGTGGCAAACATCTGCAAGCAACGTGAAAGTTAATTACTAAAATAAACTAAAAAGTAGCATATAAAAAATATACTTTTTTATACACAATTTTTAAAGATACTATAACAAAACCAAAATGATAAATGAAACTGGTGGCTCACTGGCAACTACAAGAATCAAGAATATCCCATAAACAGATATGTAATATATTAATGATGTAGTCTACAGAAGTAAAATAGAAGGATAAACTCAGAGATTTATTTTTTTTTCCTTCTAGATGTCTAACCATTTATGGCATCATCCCACATAATATAGAGACTACTGATGAGAAAAGCAGAGTAATGTTAATGTATTTAATGGGACATTGGCTGAATGAAAAATCTTCTGATACATTCACATTAGCATTAACAGCATTACGCTATACTGAAATGGAAACAGTATTTTGAAATAATTAAGTTTTATTTTCATTTAGCCACATATTAAAATTTCATGAACTTCTAATAATAACATATAAAGACATAATCCATAAGTTCCACAAAAACTACATACATACTTATCTTTATAGACTGTGCAAGACCCCATTAACTTATTTAACTGCTTAAATGTCCGCAGGACTGAGATTTCAAGCAGTGAGTTCTTTAACTCTTTAGAAGCACCAGTAACTATCTCTTTTTTTATATATCCCTTTAAAAAAAACCCAACAAACCAAGCTGCCTGACTGAAGGAGCTTCCAGAGCTGCAAAGTACTGGTAATGTTAACATTTAGGTTTATTTTCATTTATGTGGCAGTGACAACTTTTTTTCTTTTCTTTTTCTCAAAGTCACCATTTCAGCTCCTTAATGGGGCCAAATCATTCAAAGTCTCTAGCGTGCGCATGCTAAATTTGGAGTGAAAAGACATAGAAATGGATTTTCTTCTTCCCTCTAAAGAAAGGAATTTCAGTTTCAGGAAAAGTAACAGCTTCTGAGATCGCTAAATCCACTCTGAATGATTGTAACTGTGCCAAAGCGCTTTCTATTTTTTAGGTTGTTTTGGCTGTAAATGATACAAGAAATGAACTTTAACGAGTCTGTATGTCTTATTTCAGGAATTTAAAATACAGGCATATTCAAATTCATTAAATACAAGTGTATATAATGACATGCACAATGTTAGTGGAATTCTATGTAAAATCATTCACTTAAATTTCTTTCAGCAGTGCCAATGCCTTGACATGGAGCATACATTTTAGTTATTAGCCCGTATGTGATCTAATCAAAGGAGAACCTCTGCGTTGGGTTGTTGGAGATGATAAGTATGAGGAAAATAAGGTCTTTGCAATCTGGCAATACAGCAAGTAATGTCTTCTCCCTGCCATAAAAAGCACTAATAATATTTTCAGCTTGGGAGCATGAAGTAAAATACCTACGCACATTTGTGTATTATCCTTTGTGAATGAACTAGTTTCAATCACATCAAAGACTGACTGAAAAGGATATCTTAGAAGCAACCAATCTCTGCAATAATGCTATATGAATATATTCCAACATGCATGCAAGTTGAATGTGATCAATCAATCATACATATGCGTGAATAAAGCAAAAAATCATAGATGTGAATTTATGAGCACATTAACTGTAAAACTGTACAATTTCATAGAACTACTGTTGGCCACAAAAAGAATAGTCTAAAAGATTGTAAGACTCTCTTTTTTTCCCCTGAAAGTATTAAGGTTTAAATAAACAAAAGCTTAATTTTATTTTGCTTTTTATAATGCGTTTGAGTCTCTGTAATGTGGCATTTTTCCGAAGAGTCAGCAGACAATCCAAATCTGATAATAAGCACTGTCTAAAAAGTACCTCTACATTTACATTTAAATTAATTCTTTTTTTTTTTAAAGAAGAAAAAAAAAAGGACGTTTGCAGAAGCATTCAACTAGAAACAATTTGTTTGGTTTTGGGTAAGCCTCAAGTAAATATTTTTTCTTAATCTGTGTGTCTGTCTGTGCATGATTTATGTACTATACTGTTTTCAAATACCCAATTGTGTTTGCAGATAGTTATTTGTGGATCCATGCAGTTTGTTTAATACCAAGTAGAAGAGAATCACAATTACTGCTGGTTTTCCATTCAAAGGTTTCAATTTATTTCATAGTCTCCCAACTGGAAATACATTCAGTTTACTTCAGTACAAATTCTATTTAAGATACACACTAACCCTTTCCTTGTTCAACAGACCTTTCATTAAATCTAAATACTTCTTGTATCTTGCAGATAATTCTAAACTAGTCCATTACAATGGCTAATTTCCCTTCCATTTTGTTTAAATCTAGCCTTCGTCAGCAAATTAACTGAATTATGTACAAAAGAGATGATGGCTTTCACATTTAATGTTCTATTCTATAACAACCAGTCTGACAGTCCCTTATTTTAGAGCGTTAGAGTCAAAGCAAAGCACAAGAAGAAAAAAGGAGATGAAAATATATCTGATCTAAGAAGAATAATCAGTTTGATGTTAGGGTTGCTAGTGAGTCATCGTGTTGAAGAGACATGAGGAAGACAAACTGTAATTTTGAAATGAGTGACCAAAAGAAGAAATTAGAGATTGTGTTCAGATGTCTTGAGTCACTGGAAAACAGGTGACCCATATTAAGAGAAAGCATAGAGAGAAAAGAAAGATAAATGGAGTAAGAACAGAACTACTGGCTGATCATTTTCTTTCCCCTCTCCTCTGCAAAAGAAGAAAAAAATTTGAGAAAGTTCTAAAAAGTGGGAAGAGCCTTTCTAAAGGTGTGGAAACCTTTGGAAAACAATACCTCAGTGAGAAGAGATTGACGGGACAGTGGAAAGGCAAACTATGGAGAACTTCAGATGCAGAGGATAGGACTTAAGTCCTGAGAATTACACAAGAGTAATACTTAGAAATTCTGATTTTCAATATTACGAGGGGCCAGAAGCGGTACTGAAGGTGATTTTATACTGAGGAAGATGAAGGAATATAGAGGCTTGAAACTCAAAAGTCAATATGCTGCTTACTGGGGTTAGAAATAAAAATGAAAGGTAAGGTAGCAGTTGGAGACCCAAGTGATGGTCTGTGAAGATAAAGGATACCAGAGAAATACTTTAACCAGCTGCATCAATTTGCTATGTTTAGGTATTCCACCAGCATAAGATAATAAATGAGAGAAGCTGAAGTAGAAAAATGTCAACAGAAATGAGATAATTGTATTAAAAAGTCAGCTGTATTCTCCATCTCCATTGTACATATTCATTTATGAAAACAGTAAATTAAATCATTCCTAAAAAAGCCTCTTCTTGTCCTACACATGTAGATGGACATCATGGAAATATGTTCAAAGCTCACTTGAATACATCAGATTCCACTCCCTTAGCAGCATGAATCACTTCGAAGCAAAGTTTACCAATGTGTGTTGACAACAAATCACTCAAATCACTTCCATTGTGTAGAACTTCTATTAAAAATCCAGATTTAAGATCATTATAAATCCAGATTACAGAGTTTGATAAGATTACTTACAGTACTGACATCTGTCTCCTGTATACTCAGGCAAGCAGCTGCAAAAGGGTTGATTCCCAGCCGTGACACTGCAGGTTCCTCCGTTCTGGCAAAATCGATGGCAGACCGTCTGATTGCAGTTTGGGCCGGTGAACCCCAGCGCACAGTTGCAGGTAGGCCTCCCTGTTCCAAACAAAGAAAACTATTTTATGATAAAAATAAATACACATTAAAATAATAATCAGCACTCTAAAGATAGATACATTTCTCATAACAGTAGCAAATTTTCATGTATGAGCCTGACTATGTTTCTGTAGACACTAATACAACACAGCTTTGCAAATATTGCTTGAATCCAGAACTTTTTAAAAGCAAGGCAGCACTGTAAGAGATGGACACCTCAAAAATTGCTTCCACACATTTGACACTTGTGCATGTATGGACATTGCCTCTTTGTGGGAATTATTTCAAAAGACAGTTCCAAGTAGGAATTTAAAATACGACTAAGCTCTTCAAATAATCCTGCCAGGCTGGGTTCCTCCAGTTGCAGAGGATAAATGTTTGTATAATCAGCACTGATGTCTCTTCAGAATACACTCCATTATTCTCAAATCTACAAACCTTGAACACATAATCACATGAATATACAAAATTTACTAATGCGCTAATAGCCAACTTTACATAATAAGTTTTGCTAGCACAAATATCTGTGCCTGTTCTGTTATCTTATCCTTCTCATATCGTAAATACTGTAACACAAAACTTCTGTCTTGCGTCAGACCAAAGACGCCTGTAAGGTCAATATTTAATGCCTGAAAAGTAGTGAACACCTCAGGATGACCATTTGCACAAAATGAACTCTTATTATACAGTGTATTCTTAAAGGGTTTTAAAATAGTGTTTAAAACCTGATGCATTTTCCCTCTATGATTCTTTCCTATAGCAATTTTCCTTTTTTTTTTTTCTTATCTAAATCTCATGTCTAAAGGATTTATAGCTTTGTTACAATTCCACTGTTTTATTAAACAATTCCAATTTTCCCTGACTTTTTTCTTCAGGCTTATCTTCTTTAAAACAAACTTCTAGATCCCATAAATGGATTTCCATCTCCTGACTTTGCTTTTATATCTCATTTGCAATCTTCTCCTCAACTAAATGACCTGAAGTGTCCAACTAGCCATCTGCCTTCTCACTTCCTAATAATCTATTCTTATTCTTCTTTATCTCTTACAAAACATTGTTTCCCACCACCCTCATCTCCTTTGCTTTCATTCAGCCTTTATGGTTTTCTTAAACTTAGGGAAAATGGACTGAGTTTAATGCTTTTATTCTTGCTGGCTACCAAGCTGAGTTAAGAAAGAGATGAAGATTAATCAGGACCTGATGGCACTTCTGAAATAAAGGGGCGGAGAGGATGGTCTTCATTTGAATCATGAGGAACCCAACCTGGTGGCAAGTACAATCAAGAGCTTAAGTGGGACACTGCAGAGCAACTCTTCGAGTAAAGTCACAGGAATACCATAACTCTGAATCAAGGGTTGTGCATAGGCTAGCAATGGTCAACGAGTAAAGAGGTATTAGGTAGAACAAGAGGAATGCCTCATAAGTAGACTACAGAAAACCAAAACTGTAACACACGTGATTTACAGAAATGGTAAGAGTCTGGGAATTTAGATGGGAGAACTGAAACGTCCAGTCCTGAATGGGAAGATCAATGTAATTGTTTATGGCAAATTTGGAAAAGGAAAGCAACTAATAGGTTGTTGTTGCTGTAAAATCAATAACCATTTCCTTGATATCTAGTCTTTGCCTATGATGGAGTAGAGTAGAGCTATGTGTTCAGAAGTGTCAATCAGATCAGCAAGTTAACTATATAATGTACTGTATGGGGGATGCAGAAGCCCTTTGGACTGGAATTGCAGGTATAAACAGGGAAAATAGGCTATTAGAGTTTATTATTAACACCCCAATCAAAACAATGATATGACTGTGGAGTCCAAAAGAGATCAGAGAAAGTCAGGGAATATGTCAGTGATGAGAAACTCCAGTTATCTCTACATTTACATTTGAAAAACTTCACACAATGTCATAGGGTGGAAACAAACTTCTTACTTACAAACAAAGCTACTTCATGGAGGGGTGAGTTAGTGAGCACACAAAAGCTCTGCTTTACTTGGGCCCGACTTGGTTTAAAATGTACAGAAGAGCCAAAATCATTAGTAGGCAATTGAAATAACACTTAAGGGTTACTTTTTCATAATAATTAATTCATAATAATTATTTCCCATCTCCATACTGATCCGGCAGAAAATCCTTACTGCTGCCTGATTTACTGATACATTAGGACTATGTCCCTTCCTTGCTGCCTTTTGTCTCATTCATTCTTTCCTCATTTTAGTACAATGCTCGGTGTAGGTATCCACAGCCACTTCCACATTTGCCTCCTGATGTCTTTTACTAAAGCTGAAAAGTGCAATCCTCCCTACCTTTTGTTTTCTTCTCTATTCAGTTGTTTGTCTCATTAAAGTAATATAGATTAAACTAAATATTCCATAAACACCACAATTCTAATTTTTTCTGCTCTGCCTTTATTGTAATACTATGTAATCATGCAATACCATATTTGTCGGAGAATTTTTCAATGCAAGTGAAGTGCACTTATTTTTGTTACTCTCTCCATGCAGAATGATTTATTCTTCTTCCTTCACTTACTTCTTACTCTTCTTACAGAAAACCCTTCACGTAATCCTTTTCTACATTTTCTATTTTAAGCTATGCTAATTTAAAGTGGTTTGCAAATCATGCTAAAGGCCACGAGATCAGTTAGTCTCTTCCTCTAATGAGTACAGCAGGAACAAAACCATTGACTTAAAAATAACTCCAACTAGTTTAATATGCATCAGCCTGGTTATTCATATCTGTCCCCTGTGATATAAACATTAAATCAAAGATGTTGAACTCAGATGTTAGCACAGACTCTTTTTGTTTTTCCTTGTGTATACACTTGTATCTAAATTTCTCCCCCTAAGCCAGGGGGTTTCACATTGTCCTTTATCTGAATCAGTGTTTCCCTGAAAGAGTTAAAATAAAATAGTGATAGAACATAGATCTAGAGGTCTGAAATCAGGTTTTGTTATTAACAGTTCTCTATTTCTTAAAGTGATGAGGCAATAATATTTTCTTAGTTTATAGAAAAGATTATTCTATTCTTTGGCAATGTAGGCTTATAAATATGCCAAACTGCTGACAGGTATATGAAAATTTAATTCAGTATAGCCTAAATGCCATTTTTGTCACTCAGTTTAACATGAGTTTTAGTAATTCATTGCCTATTTACACACAGCCTGTTGGCATCTAAAATAATACTAATAATGACACTTTAATCTGTCTTATTCTCATAAATTATTTCTGATACAAAATGGTTCCAAGAACAATTTATTAAAATTGCAGTATTAAACAATGACAAACAATGCCATAAGGTTTTGTATCACAGAATCAGAATATCGGTTTGTTTGCAAAGGAAATAGTCACGTTAACCAAGATGTCACATATCCTAAATAACAAAAACTGCATGGTAATTTCACGCACAGAAAACTTCAGCATTTAGATTGGTCATGAAGTTTCGGGATTAGAACTGTAGACAGACAGACACCACAGAAACATTCACAACACATTACACTATAGAAAAATATTAATAAGGAAAGTGGTTTATTGAATGTCAAACTGTTTCTCATTTAGTTAACCATCTTATGGTATATTTTATGCAAAAAAAAGAGAGTAAAAACAATTTTCTGAAAGAAAACACAAAATTTTCCCTTTTTTATGAGTTCTTCTTCAGTGCAAACCTCAACTGGATTTATTGTATGACAACACTGTCTTGTTTTCCCCTGCCTGTTAGGGATAGAATCCTAGCTTTCACCTATCTTCCTCTTTAGTCTCCTCTCTAGCATAATAATTCAAATAAAAATTTCCTCTTTTGATTGCCTATGTTGAAAAATGTTGCCAAAGTGGAAAGGAGGACAAGGTGGCAGCACATTCTCAGCATCTCACATATAAATGTTCTAACTTGAAAACCACAGTAATAATATCTAGAGAGCAAGAAGTCCATCTTTTTTGACCAAAATTTCTCCATTCTCAGTGATTTACAATGAATGTGCATACACTTTGCTATTTACTATCTCTAGCCCAATGTGAATAGATTGAGTTTCTCACTATATATATAAGCAACTGAAAACATAATGCATGTAGGCCCTGTATTGGTAAGAGTGTTTTGTATTTAAAATAATTCTAAATAACAATTCTAAATAATTGAATTTTTAGATAATACATTAAAGGGTGCCTGGTAAGAGATATAACAGAGATAACAAAAGTAATAATGAAAATTATCTGGGGAAACAATGCACTTGAAAGTCACTCTTATCTGAAGATTCTCTATGCAGACCCTCTCTTAAAAAAAACAAGGATATTAATCTACGGATTTTTTAATCTTGACTCAAGAACTGACAGAACTTGAAGCTAACTTATAAATTTATCACATTTTTTCAGATGTTTTGCACAGAATATAGTAAATTAAGGAAGAATAATTTATGATGACCCTAGGACATGCAAAGTTATTTTTGGCAGTAGGACATGAAGAAATATCTGAAGTTTTTAGCAAGAGGATGAAATGTAGTTTCCTCCTTTCTTATGAAAAATCATGCATAAGAAGATGACAGGGATCAAAGTTGTGAAATGTTCAATTAGGTTTTGATTATAGAGGCTGTAATTACTCCTAGGATGCCAATTTCATTTGCTATATAATAGTAAATAACTTTTCAAATAATCTTCTATTAAAGTTAATAAATATTTTAGTACATTGCCAGTGTAATATCTAGGTGATTTCTTTCGGGAATCTACTCATATATATTAAACTCCTATTTACATTTATTTTGCAATGAAAGAAACTCTAAGGACATCAAGTTTGATTCATACTATTGACTAAAAAACAGAGAAATGTTATGCATTTTTTATGATCGCATAAGGTATTTTGCAATTAAAAAATAAATCTTTTGGGGAAATAGCACTATTTTTGTAAGCTTTCTGAAAGTTTCAAAAAATCAGATCATCCAGATGAATGCCTGCACCAAGACATAGATTATTTATTTCTTCCAGTCAATGATATTCACTACTAGCAATATGTAGTT